GTGTCGTGGATTTAACAAAAAATTTACCTGTTCCCGTAACAAAGTTTCGTAACACTAAACAAACCAAAATCAGTAATTACAACTTTTCCATTTTCTAAAAATATGTTTTTACTTTTGAGATCTTTGTGAATTATACCACGAGCATGAAGATATCCCATTCCCTAAATGATGAAGAACATATTAAAACTTATTAAGGTAAAGACTTGTGTGACTTATGTAACGCACCTGAGAAATCTGTTGAGCGATGATAGTAGTTTTATTCATATTAAATTTATCTTTACGTAAATGAATGTGAGTGTAAAGAGTCATGCCTTTGCTCATACTAGTCACTATCGCCAAGCGCGGAGGCTTCATGCAAGCTCCCATAAATAAAACTAGATTTTCGTGTCTAGTTTTTCGGAATGTAGATACCTATAAATTCGAATGATATGTATAATCAATAATAAACAACAATTAAAATTTCAGTAGATAGTATTATAATTTCATGCTGAATTTTTTAATATTCGTATTAATAATGAACATAAAATTAAATTATTTGTATGTAAAAAAAAAATTTAATTCGAAATAATAGTTTATTGTATAGTTATATGTTTATATATAGATATATACCATCATCAAATTAATCAGTTAATTCATATTACATATAAGCAACTACATAGATTGTCTTTCCCATAAGATATCTTGTAAGTATATATGAAATTTTATAATTACCGAAATTACGCTATATTATATCAGCTAATTATACATTGCATTATGTTATATTATACAGTTATATTATAGAAGCACTCGAATCATATTTTCTTTTATTATAATATTTATTTACCTCCAATTTGAACGCTTCCAATGTTTTGTCATCGTCCGAATAATAGTCCATATTTAGAACTTTAATTGCAACATTACCATGCCAGTAACCCCTATACACTGTACCAAATCTTCCAGTACCTATACGTTCTCCAATTTTTAATTCATCGAAAGGAATGTCCCATTCTCGCATAGATAACTGTAATATTAAATTTATTTGTATATGATAATATTAAGAGAGATTGATATTACATACACTATTTTGTCGTGGCCAGCGACTATCTCCTGGCTCTCCGTCAGAAACTTGAGAATCTTGTGAATCAACTCTAACAGGTGTTCGCTCCGAATCTGTGCTGACACTGCCAGATCCTGAAACGCTCACAGTTCTTTCGCTATCACTTGACATAGTTGTACCTTCGAGTCGATGAGTTTCTAATGTGACACCTCCTTTTTCATTGAGCACAACATCTAAAAGTTAAGTATCATAAATTTGTTATTCATTGCAATCGTTATGAAATAGTTACCTGGAAAATGGAACTGTTTGGCAGGTGCCTGTGGGGTTTGGCTAGTATTGGCAGGTAGCAAAGCTGGACTAGAAGGCGTTGAGCTGTTACAGCTTGAGGTATTTGAACTAGAATCTGCGCCCTAAAAAATATAAACTTGTAAGTTAATATTTACAGTTAGTTGTTAACGTAAAAGAAAAAAGAAAATAAAAAGATTCAAAATACATAATTACGTACCTGAAAAGGTATATTCATAGAAGAATGTGGATGCGATCGTTTTCGATCTCTTCGATTTAAAGAGCTTAATAAATTTGAATTATGGTGATTGGGAGATGTAATACCAGGCTTACTTAATATCGGAGAAACATTCACCATACCTAAAAATTTAATTTTCTTGAAAATTCACAAAAAAAAAAAGAAAAAAAATATATAAAAATTAACGAAATTAGATTTAAAAAGATATTATATACATACCGTCACCTTGTACAGTTCTTTTAAACTCGTCAAAGAGTTCCTGAGGTAGGCCACAAGAAGGTGGTACTTTGGATTCGCAATCTCGATGACACTTGTATTTACATTCTTTGCATTTCAAACCAGTGCCTATAAACATCTGCTTGTCGCAATAGTCGCAGGTTGTCATCATTTTAAACGTTTTGGTAAAGCGGTGAGCAATTATATGGCCCATTCCTCGGGTTACGGTCGGAGTACGAGGTGACTTTGGCACTTGAAGACTTGTTACTATGATAATACAAATAATAACAATTTCTTATATATTTACTTAAAAACATAAATTTCCAAAATGAATGATTAGATTTACCTGTTCCCTTAAAACTGTTGTCGTCGCTTTCTGCGCTAGAATAAGGTGGAGACTTAACAGGACTATTACTATTCGGTAAGAGACTTTCCCCTGTAATGTCTGCATTACTACTGCAAGACCCTGATTCGGTAGGCAAACGATTTCTTCTCCCAACAGAACCAAGATCATTTCCACAACTGTAAAAATAATACAAACACATTTGATATTAACTTTTCTTTAAAAAAAGACAAAAAAAGAAAACAGTCAAAAATTAAATTATCACCTTAAAGCTGTATCTCCATTTTCAAGACGGTTTGCTAATTGTGATTCATGAGACTTTGACTTAGTTAAAGGAAACACTTCTGGTTGTGATATTGTATTTTGTAAACCTATTTGATGTTTTTTATAAGGAGGAGGAGTCGTTGGAAATTTAATTCCTGTTTAAAAAAAAAAACCAAAATTTTATGTAATTATATAAATAAATAATAAAAATACAACACTTACCACGTCCTGGCCTTTGTAAAAGAGGAGTGGAAGGAGGACTAGTTGACGATAAAGATGTAATGGAAGAAGCTTGTGCTAATACATCACTGTTAAGATTATTGTTATTATGATATGGAATGCTGTCTTCTGAAGGAACAGAGCATCTTGTTGTACGTGATCTTGCTGGTCTGGGAGATGTTCCAGTACGTAAATGATGTCTATCCCAAGAATCCCAATATAAATTCATATCACTGTTATCCATATCACCTTTTAGTAGAACATCTAAATAAAATATTAAAGTATATATTTCAATATGTATTTTTTATAATAATTGTGTTAAATATTGCAAAGTCAAATAAATCATTACCCATATATCGACGAAGATTGTGTAATGCCCTGCACAATCTACGTAATTCTTCCTCGTGTTTTATATTATTTTCTCCCAACATACTACCTAACTCGTGTTCAGATTTTTCTTTAAGAGCTTCAAGTGAAGTGGCTTTAGAACAAATCATCTAAAATTTATTAAAATAAAAAATTTTAGTAATTACTTAAATGAGAGTAAAAATCTCATGTTTAAAAATTTATTTATACCTGAATAGATTCTTGAGTAAGACCCACTACTCTTAACCACTGTTGCAAAGATGGATATTGTTTCATTTCTGCAGGCAATGATTCTTCTAAAGCCAATTTGGCTTTGGTTACAAGTTGCTTTGAATATAATTTGATAAGTTTTCCCTAAAAGCAAATTTCACTTATATATATAAATAACGTAGGATTTATCTCTTTTAACACTATTTGAAATAACTGTAGCTTAACTTTTTTGTTCAATTTGCTATCAAAAATGTACTTTAGTCATTGATTTTTAAATTACACGCTACTTAAAAATCCTTTTCATTAAAGGAAAATTGAAAGGCTTATTCGAAAATCAAATTTCTCAATAACTTGAAAAACATTCTATGTCAAAAGATATAAGGTATAATTACTTAACTTTTATTGAAATCATTATGTGTAAAGAATACATACTAAAAAAGAATATCAGAGAAGTGTTTCTAGAAGAAAAAGAAAAAAAATATAAACACATTTGTAATGATAAATTAACAGCAGGTGTGTAAATGCAAATGCCAAGTTGACAAAGAAATATATTTGCAACTTGTTGACAACCAGAAACGAACCATTCACGAGGTCAAGGCGACCGTGTTGAACGCAATAAAGGAAAAATTAGGAAAGGATCGAGGGGGTTGCGCGCTCTTCGAGGTACCTCGAGCGTTCGAATTTCCTGTTGAGTCAGTTCTGCGCTGATGGAACATTGGGTCCTCAAGCCTTCGAGTCGTTCGGCGGAGATGTCAATCATGGATTGAACGACATCTAAGGCTCGACGGATTTCTTGTTCCGCATCTTCGCCGTCCGCCATCCCGTGGCACGGTGACGGCCCCGGATGTCTCGTTGAACGCGAGGTCGGTTTCCTATTTCACAGGCATAATTTTGTCTCGCAAGGGGCTCTTATCGGTCACGACTTTATTACTGACTCTCCGTGTAACCAAACCACTTATCAACATTGACAACCATCTTGGCCGCCTATCGGTGACGTCAATCGGTGCCCAACAATCCGGGATCTCAGTGCGTTCATTCGAGCGACATCCGAGCGTTCCTAAAGTTGCATTTCTCGATCGTTTCTCCACAGTGTTGCGAAATATACGGCGGATTATTTATAGATTTTAGACAACAAAAAAAAAAGTCTTTTGAGTTAGCAATTTTATTTTACGTTAGAAAGATGCCGTTATTAATGAATTGGCTGACAAACTTTTTGACTTTGCTGATCATATTTTGTGTTTCTTACTTTGAGATTTACGAAACCAATATGAATGACAAACACGAACAATCAAAACGAATTTGTGTTGCAGTTCGATAATTAGCATGATCGTAAAAGCACCGAGAACTTATATTCCAAACGTCGAAATATGTAATTTAATAGATTTTTAAGTTGAATTAACAACTTTGAATTGTAATTATAGGTTAATTGACAATTGTTGTCGAGCAGAAGATAACTGGTGCGTATCTATTTTGATATTCTATGGATTGAATCTACTTCGATCATTTTGGCGCAAATTTTAAATATTCTGTAACGCTGATCTTTCAATTTATGTGCTTGTAATTACGTGTAATTATATGTCACGAAACGTCTTTTAAGTTAACTAAAAATTTAAAAATTGTTTCGTCTTATCAAGTATCTTATTAAATCGGCTAATTAATGTTATTTAAATAAGTTTAAACTTTAATATAATGAAATAATGAAAATAGCACAATGAATTCACATGTAATATACATATGATAAATAACTTTTATCTCAATGAATAAAACGTATTAAATTTGTTTAAAGTTGAGTAGGAATTAAGGTTGTTTCAAATGAAGTGCATTGGCTTAAAGTGCATTGGTTTGGGAACGTTAGAAAGCTGATAGCACCGTATATAAGCACCACTTGCAACATTTCTTTCGTTGATTTTGGTGCATTCAATATGGTATTCGAAGTTTCTTATCTAGCTGCCTTGCCCGGTCGATGAATGATCAAAATTTATTCGTTGTCTCTTCGTTTTGGTGTCATGTATTTGCTAGACAAAATTTTGTGTGGTTGTTTATTCTAGTCGTGAGATTTATAATTGTAGTGTTATATGTTAGCGTTAACAAGACTTTAGAGAAATGGTGAAAATAGACACGATACAAAAAAATTATCCGCTGCATTGGCTCGTGTGGAATAATAATTATGTAGAACTCGAGGAGGAATTATCTACAAAGCTGGTTGGTAAAGCAATAAAGAGATAAAAAGATAAAAAGAAAACTGTTATTTAGTCAGTAATCATGTTCAATCGTAAGCAGCACCTGTGATTAAACAGATGGTGACAATAGAGACACGCGATGCAACTATATTCATCAATTGTTTTTTTTCTCTTTCTACGAAACGAATATATGACAGATGACAGTTTGTATTTCATGTTAGACACTTACTTCGTAATTACTATGAAGTAAAAAATATATATACGTATGATAAAAATGTCTTTATTGATATTAAGAAATTGTCATGAAGAAATTGCATATATATCATTTAGTTACAAAATATGACATCTTTTTCATGAATTATATTTTATTGTGTCAGATGAATGATTGATATTATTGTAATTGATTACGTATTATGATATTGGTCTAAGATCATTTGATACATTATCAGAGAGGTTGATGGAAGAAGCCTTGTATGAGTTAGAAACCCTAAATGTTCCTTAATTTCTAACTTCTGATATTATGTATCCAATATATCACAATGGATTTGATAAAGCTTAATAGAAAAAGTATTGTGCTAATTATTAGTGCTGTTGACAGTACTTAATATCATTTGTAATAAAAAAGTCAGTTCATATATATATATATATTTTTTATTAAAATTTAGATGTATGTGTTTAAAATAATTTAAAAATATATTTCAAACATCTTTAATTGTTCTATGTTAATATACTAATATGATATTTTTTTATAGCATGATATTGAAAAACTTGATAACCGAGGAAGAACCCCATTGATGTTAGCTGTGACTTTAGGTCATATTGAATCTGTTGGAGTATTGTTGCAACATGAAGCTAATGTTAATACAGAGAATACTCAAGGATGGACTGGTAATAACTATGGGATTGTATCTATTAAATTGTCAAATTCACTGGTATTAAAATTTTAATTTTACATTGCAGTGGTTCAAGAGGCAGTTGGCACAGGAAATCCTGAGCTAATACAAATGGTGCTAGCACATAGGGATTATCAAAGATATTGTAATCGGGTAGCAGGTATTCCAGAACTGCTTCATAAACTTAAACAAGTGAGTTTAGTTAAGTCGTGTATCTACTAATCATGCATGATACTTGAAAAAGTTTATAGGTATTTGAAGATTTTATCCAGTGTTTATAGTAAAAACTTATTAATTATTTTTGCCAGACAAATGCTTATGATCAAGGATGCTTTCTCTTATGTGGTGGAAATTTTGATTTGTATAATCTGAGATTAAATGATATTTTCAGGCTCCTGATTTTTATGTAGAAATGAAATGGGAATTTACTAGTTGGGGTAATTATAAATTACATAATTTTCTTATTTTTTTTCAATTAAAAATTAAACTAATGACTTTTTTTTATTATTAGTTCCTCTTGCCTCTAGAATATGTCCTAGTGATACTTATAAGGTATACAAACAGGGCAGCAATGTACGAATCGATACAACTTTATTAGGATTTGATCATACAAAATGGCAACGTGGAAATCGTAGTTACGTTTTCAAGGGACAAAGTGAGTATTTAAATGTGGTTCTTTGCATGAACACGTTAATATTTCTTAAGTTTATTTCAATTATCAGGTTTTTTTTGGGGTTTTTTTTTTCTTTTATATTAATAGTAGAGTCTTTCATTTGTTTTTTAATTGTGTATATTAAATGCAAGCTGCATCACATGTACCTGTGGCAATTAGATGTGAACGGAGTTATGTGTTCAGTATGGTGGGACGAGAGTCAGGTGACAGAATTATTTTTAAAATTAATGTGGTGTGCAGAATGGTAGCGAATATTATTAACACTGTGAAGTAGAGAAAAATTTTCTTATCTGTATATTTCTTTCTTTATCTGTATATTATCTATATATTTTTATTTATTATCACTTTCTTGGAATTCTATTGCTCTTAAAAAGCTAATATAATAAATTGAAATAGATGGTAAGTGTAATCTAAATATTCTAAAAATAATTGCTACTGATGTATTATATATTTTTTCAAGTAGTTAATTATATTTAAATTAAAAAAAAATATTTAAAATGAATTAGTGTTAATGTAATTAGTAGTACGAAATTATAAATTTAAGTAGAACAATGTGAGAATTTTATTTTAATAAATATTTTTTAATATGTTTTTTTAATAATAAAAAATTTATTTATACAGATGATGGAGCAACAATGATGGAGGTGGATCACAAAACAAGAAAAGTATATGTTGAGCATATTAAACTCGTAGATATTGACGATATGCAATTAATGGAACCCTCTGAAGAAGGCGTGTTAGCTCGGCTTACAAATCCGATCGTTACTACGTACATAGATACAGATAAAATTAGTTTTGAACGGTAATTGTTTTTTTCTTTACTAATGCTATTTAGTATTATTGTTAATTAGTATTATTACATGTTTTTATTAACAATTAACAATTATTTTTGTTTGACTAGCAATAAAGCTGGTTTGTGGGGCTGGCGCTCTGATAAAAGTGAAATAGTTAACGGACATGAGTGTAAAGTGTTTAGTGCATGCAATGTAGAATTAATAACAAAAACTCGATTAGAACATTTATCTGAACCTGATAAGGCACGAGCTCGTGCTCCTCGTACACCTCTTCAATCATTTCTTGGTATGGCGGAACAGCAGCAGGAGAACAGTAATAACGCAACCACTAGTGTAATTTTCTTTTTTTGAACATTTTTGTACATACATTATGTGATCACATTGAAACTATTTTATTATTCATTTTAGGAAGAATATAACAATGTCGGAAATCCTTCTAATATAACAGCTGAGGAATATTTTGACCCGGACGTTGATTTGAATGGAAGGGATATAGGTAGACCAAAAGAAGTTAATACAAAAATTCAGAAGTTTAAGGTATTGTGATAAAATATTATAAATATTAAGGTAATATCTCTATGAAATGAATATGATTAAATCTAAAATTGCAGGCAACTTTATGGCTTAGTGAACAGTACCCGTTAAGTCTTCAAGAACAGATTATGCCAATTGTCGATCTTATGGCAATATCTAGTTCACATTTTGCAAAATTAAAGGATTTTATTCAAATGCAATTACCTGCTGGATTTCCTGTTAAAATTGGTAAACTTTGTATTATAATATTTCTTTTTTGAATTAATTGGTATTCTTTGATAAATGATAGAATTAATTCCCCTTTTTTTTGTAGAAATTCCTCTGTTTCATATATTAAATGCAAGGATAACGTTTGGAAATATTTTCGGCATGGATCAAGAAGTGCCTCACGTAGGACATTTACAAGAAACTAACAGAATGACTTGTTTAGTTGATGATATTTGTTTTGAAGCACCAGTGGGATACGTAAAACTAGGTAAATTTAATATATATAAATGAATGATATATAAATAGATAATTACATGAATTATATATATATATATACACATTAAATACTATTGGAAAGATATGTATTATGTAATTGTCTGTTTATATATAATTCAGCAGGTGCTGAAGTTCGGACACAATTTAGTATGGAAGAAGAAGACGATCTATTACAATTTGCTATTCAACAAAGTTTGTTGGAAGTTGGAAGTGAACGTGATGAGGTACAAATATCTAAAGTTTCTTATATCTCTTCGAAAAGATTTATATATAAAAATAAATTCTAATAGCGTAATTCAATTTATTAAGATTGATATATGGGAGGCCTTACGAGCGCAAAAACCATCACGACCCACGACGCCCAATATGACAACTGAGGAAGAGAGGCAGTTGCAGAGGTACGAAAATATATTGTTTATAGGAACGCATGTGGCATTTTAAGTATTTTGTTTTTATTTTAAAAGTTCTAAATATTTCATTTTGCATGTGTTCTTATGCGACAATTCAAATTCAGAAAGGTGGGTGACGGATTGTTATCAGTATTAGATGCGTAATAAATATTTAAATTAACTATATGTACATATGTAAATGTTTTTTGCAGAAAATTCAAGGAATTGCAGCAAATATTTAAAAAAACATATATAATTAATTTTGACATTTAATTTTTTCTACATATTAATAATATTACGAATTTTTTGTAGTACAGCAATATGATTAATATTAGATATATAATTATATAATATTAGATATATAATTATATAATTTAAGAAATTTGTTTGATAACTAATTATAAATTTTTACCTTCATCTTTAATGCAGAGCTATTCAGGCAAGCCTGGCGCTGTGTCAAGATAGTAACGTTGGCTGTGCGAGCGGTCGAAGTAATTCGGATAAGACAAATGACATAGAAAATGCTGATTCGCTCGAAGATACAGCAGAACAATTAAGACTGGCGCTAAGACTGTCAGAATTACAACAGTTGGAAGAAGAACAGCGTCGATTGTTAGAGGAAGAAACATTTCGACAAGTGTTGGAGTTATCTCTTACAGACAAGTGAACGTGCAATAGTCATTAAGAAATTTGATCAAATTATACTTCCATGATTATGTGAAATCTTCCAGCTGCGCAAGCATCATGTAGCGCGAAATCATTTCCTACAGTTCACAAAAACATTAAATAAGTAAACCTGTTGTTTACAACAGATATTTGTTATAATATATAGTTACAGTATGTATAACTATATATATGTGTGTATATATACTATATATATATATATAGTTACGAAATACAAGTCAAACGATGGAGATAATATAACATTAACTATGAAAGTAAACGATTTAAATTATGTTATTTATTTCTTAGCTACATTTTATATAAATGAAAAGATTGAGTAGTATGGAGGAACATGGCATATATATAATACTCAGAAGTCTTGAAAATTACAATTGCTCTGATAGAAAGATCAGAATATTCCTGGATATCAAATTCACGTTCAAGTCGAATAATATTAAATAAAATAAATAAGGTAACATCTCGTTGAAAGTGCTGTAAGTTATGACTGTCAATATTTCGAATAAAAAGCTTGTAATTCTCAAGCCTTCGACGATTATTCGTTTTGTCCTTTCTCCTAATAATTAGATTCGAATCTTCAAAAATTTCTAGCATAAAAATTTAGGAATACATATATCGGATTAATATTTTAATTAATATCCTATAATAACCTATTTAAAAAAATTGCCTCGTAATATTTGGGCAATTAAAACTATTCCAAGTTCCTTTTTATACCAGTGATAATATAATTGTAAGTAGTGTTTCAATTAGTTGAGAATAGCAACGGTGTAACGAAAGTGTATTATTTATTCCTTATAGTTTATTCATTACAGATGAATAATTTCGTTGAAATGTTTAGTACAAATTAAGCGTATGAAATAAAAAACAGAAAAAATTATTAATTATCTTGTTATCAGTATACCAACAATTTATCGAGAAACAAACGTAACTGTATTACATATCATTGTTCTGTAAAAATTTTTATTCCAAAGATAAATTATTGTTTGTTACAATATTTCTTTTATAAATGAATTTATTAATTTTAACAAAATATAATTGCAATACATTAATTATATTGTAATAAAAAGGTATATTTCTACAAGTGATATATAATAGACATAATTACGTGTATAAAATAAAATGTGTGTAGAAAAATACGAAAAAAAATATTTATATTACAATGAAGAGCAGAAATTATATTTATTACCAATCAGTGACAGTGATCAATCTGCCAGGTAATGGATTATTCAAATTCTGATTGTGCCCTGAAATAGAAATAATGTTTTTATAATAAAATTACGTTTCGCATTATAAAATATAATCTGAGCAATATCTTTATATAATTCTATTTGTTTCTCCACATAATTTCACGATCTTGAATATATACCTCTTAAATATAGTGTTTAATATACTTGCACTTTCCGTAAAACGTTGTTCATTCTTGTGTGCTTGTTGATGCCATTTTTTGCGCATAGCATTCCAATGTACTCTGTGTTCTCTTAACAACATTTCTCGTGATTTTAGGGTTTGTCCGTCCTACAATGTATTATGTATAAAATGTATTTATTACGTGATTATGATATTGTATTAGATTGATAAATTAAGAATCATCAAGATAAATATCTCACATAATCCAAGTTCAACTCTTCTTTTTCTCTAGGTATTGCTGAAGGTATACGGTTTCTAGGTATAGCTTCTTCACAAGGTAATGGAGGTGGCAAATAATAAACATCACGAACTTCTCCATTACTGTCCAATATATTGTTACTTATGTTAATTTCATTTACTATTTCTGGACTTGGACTGCGTACTCTGAATATAAAAACAATATACAAATCATCTTTTCTTAATACTTTTTAAAATTTAAAATATGTGTGATAAAATAATTAAGTGGTCCCTCTCATATTTTATAAATAATGTTAGTTATAATTACATTAAAGTTAATATCTACATGTACGAAACTGTATTAGAAATAATTAAATATTATAAGACTGTTATACATAGAAATGAAAATGGACAAATAATATTTCAATATTTACAGTTTTGCAACTGTCTTCTATTTACTTACTTTGGTACAAGATTAGGATTTCTTGGTTGATTTGCCATCCAAGCTCTACATATGGGATAAAGTGGTGTATCTTCTTGAAATTGTGCTAAATCAACACTTCTATCAAATAACTTCATAACATAAGTATGATGAAATGCAGTATCCATTTGTATTTGTCTACGACGTCTTATTTTACGTGGTTGTTGAAAACACATTGATTTTGTTCTATACATGTTATCTCTGTAAAAAAAAAGATAAAAAAATACATTATTTTATTTATATTATTTATAAATAAAATACATTATTTATAAGGAGAAGCATTTTAAAAGAAATTACATTTTTTTCATTGAATGTCTATAATCTTGTGCAGAACTTTCTTCACTTGAATCTGCCGAGGATCCTGTATCACTATGTTGTAATAACTCTCTAAGAGCACCTTTTAAACGATCTCTTGCAACAAGTACATCACTGTCTCCTAAAACAATATATTTTAATATCAATTGCTTTATATGGATTCATTTAATAATTGCATATAAACAATACTTTCTATTACCTAATTCATCCTTTATTTCAACCTTCACACGACTAGGCACTGATACAGGTGGTGGTTGAATATTTCTTTTTTTCCCCATCTAAATTATAAAAATGCATTATATCATATAAACATTTATAATAGCTCTTTCAATCACTATAATAATAATTTGTTACAAACATACCTTCCAACTAAGTTTAATTCATTTGCACGATGGATTAAATAGATTACAATTCTTTCTATTGTGCAGACAAAAACTGTATATAAATATTATTGCAAAAGAAAGATATTCATATATTTGTTAATGATAACATCACGTATTCGAAAGTATAAGGTTAGGATATGAAATACAATTTAATTTCACGATAAATAAGTACGAACTAATTTTGAATTATACTTTCGTTTAATTTTCAATTTTTTTGAATAAAAGTTATGTTACATTAGTTGAATAACGAACGGTTGTTATAACACAAGTCAAATAATCTTTAGAAAGTTATGGGCGTGGGTATCTTCTTCTTCGGGACAATATAGTTTATTGGATTATGTTCAAGTTTTAATATTTTTATCGCTAGAGCTTAACTTTTTTATATTTTTGCAATTTGATCTTCTTGTTTTTAATTTAATTGACTGTATTTCAAGGTTTATTAAATTACATTACCAATATTAAATGCTAAAAATTGTATAACTGCATTAGAAGCTCATTAAGGAATGTGTGTATGTACATATTAGGAAATTATGCAATGCAAAAGTTAAATTGTTTTGAATACTTTTGTGCAAATAATATCTCAATATTGTTTTAAGCTGGATAGTTCATGTAATTTCAATATGTATTAATTTTCAATGTTTCAGATTGTAAAAATTAACAAAAAAATGCTGTTAAATATTGAAGTATTTTTAATTATTAATACAATAAGTGCAACATTTATCTTTGCTCATAATTGTCTTCTAAACAATAAAGATTATAGATGTAGACTAGGAACTAAAACACCATATAGATTTATATCAAATAATGATGATTCTCCTCTTGAATACTCAGGTAATATCTAATTTAATAACTAAGTATGAAATATCTTTTCTATTCAGTATAAATAAAAAATTTCTTTTATCAATCATAGGTTGTGTTCCAAGAAAGATATGGTTAATTTTAAGACATGGTACAAGATATCCTGGTAAGAAGTACATAATACCCATGATTGAAAAACTGCCGAAGTTACAAAAAATTATCCTAGATAACTATAAAGAGAGCAAAACAGAATTTACAGAAGAAGATGTAGACTTATTCAAAGAGTGGAAAATCACTTTTACCGAAGACGATGTTATGAAATTAGCAGAAGAAGGAGAAGATGAAATGATCGATATTGGAGAAAGATATCAATCTAGATTTCCAAGTCTTATGCCAGAAATCTATGATAATCAAACTTACAGAGTAAAGAAATATCATTTCTCATTTTTGACTTTTGGATATTTTCTTATTATATCCATTAAATAAAAATATTAATTTTTAGTTTAAGTATACTGCCACTCAACGCACAAAGGAAAGTGCTAAGAACTTTGCCACTGGCTTATTTGGAAGATACAGTAGTTATCAAGTTCAGTATCCAGAGGCAGAGCACAAGGATCCTGTCTTAAGAGTAATTTACAACTATATAATTTAATAATTGTGTAATTTTCCATTATTTAATCATTTCATTTCAAGTTTTTAGTTTTATAAACGTTGTGAACGTTGGCGTTTCGAAGTGGACAAAAATCCGGATTCTCAGATAGAAAAAAACAAGTTTTTGAGGAGCAATGTTTATAAAAAGATGTTGGAAGACGTTTCCACGCGTATTGGTTATCAGATCGATCACGGTATGCAGTATGCACGATATATACATATATATATATATATATATATATATATATATATATATATATACACATACATACATATAATATATATATATACATATAAGAAATATTTACGTTTCAGAAAATGTACATTTAATGTACGTGGCGTGTGGATTTGAAACCGCATGGCATAAAAATTATGAATCACCATGGTGTAGAATATTTTCATTAGATGATTTCAAAGTAAATTTTAAAATTCAATTATTTGTTAATTATGTAATTGTTCGTTCAAATTTATCGATATTGTTTTTTTTTTTTAGATACTCGAGTTTGCAAGTGATTTAGAATATTATTGGAACGATGGGTATGGCTACAAATTAACTTATGAACAAGCGTGTCCAGCTTTGAGAGATGTTTTTGATTTTTTTGCGTGGGAGTATATTATTTTTTTTGAAAATTTACTTAGACCGTATATTATATTAAAATTTTATTTTTAATTTATAGAACAGATGAAGGACCAGTGGTATCGGCATATTTTACTCATTCGGGGACCATTTTGAAATTGTTAGCTCTTTTAAAAGTCGCTAAGGAGGACCAACATTTAACACATGATTTATTTTCGTTGTATGGAGAGAACAGAGCTTGGAGAACTGGGATTATCGATACTTTCGCATCTAATATTGCATTTGTTTTATACAAGTAAAATATTTATATATTTTATATATAATCTAACTATAATATAATCTAATATAATAATGCTTTTTTTTATTTCAGTTGTTCTGGAGTTCCTAGTGTTCTTTTTATGCATCAGGAAAGACCATTACATCTTCCAGGTTGTCCTATGAACATGCCATGTGCGTTGTCTACAATGAAAGCACTCTATCCTGATCAAGAAGAGGAATGTCAATTTGAAACAATGTGTTCGTTAGAGGAATCATCATAATGATGCAGAACCATGATATATATTATGAATTGTATTATATATATATTTTTATTATATAATTATTATATATATAGTTTATCACATTCGTACAAGAATATGAGAACCAAATGAACCATAGAACTTCATATATAGAATTTCACTTTTATATTTTCCTATAAATTAATTTATTACATTGTAGTGACATTTGAATTGCACTTTGTTATTAATTATTGTTTTGTTCTTGCAAAAATTGTCAATTATTCTTAAAATTTGATTTATAATGATAAATGGAAATGTAATTATTACAAGTATTGTTACTTGAAAATTGTAGTTAAAAATAAAAAATGAAAAAAAGTGGAATGTGTATTTATAGTAATCTAATAGCATAACATATATCTAATTATTTTGATTCTTTAATGAAACAATAAATAAAAGATTGCATTTCATATATGTAATATTCTATCTTAGTCAACATGTCGAATTATACCTTATGAGATTCAAACAGATCAAGAGATTCGCGCCAATATTTCAATTTATTGAACAAAATTTGGAAATCTTTATTCATACATTTTATAGATCAAATAAGATATAAGAAAGAAATATAAGATATAGAAAGAAAGCTTGGAAGAGGTCTAATCAGAAAGATACAACTGCAAAAGTTCGCAAATTAATCTCCTTAATTAACTTTTTTGGCAAATGAAAATTTAGTTAATTTATGGACACTGAAATGCTAGCGTCGCGTAGCGGTAAAACACTGGAACTAAAATCTACTGCTGTCCTTGTCGCACATTAGCGCGCTCCTTATCTGTCACGGAACAGAAGTCTGTCTTTATCATACATCAATGCGCTCTTTGTTCACGAACGAAAATAGGTGTGCCATCTGTCAGGGATTATTAGCACTACCTAGCGAGAGGGACATTGTGCTGCCATCTAACGAATTTTTCATTTTTAACCTTTTAGTTCCAGTCGAAAATGAGAACTGGTTAAGCGGCAGCACCATCGTACACAAGAGCGCACTAATGGGTGCGTAAATTCAAACATTGGAAATTCGAATTTTCTCAAGTTAACTATAGTTTATACTATAATCTATATAATCATAAAATAATACACAGATTATAACATAATATATAAATTATCAATTACAATTTATAATATACAAATCAATATTATATATGTAAACTACAAATATGTAGATTAATTTCAGTCACAAATTAGACAGGTCCGACTGCAAGTCTGTGCAGTCACGTAATTGTATAAAAGATACACGTACCTTACAATCATAAGTAATAACACGATCCATGTCTTTCCACCTATTTCCACTTTCTAAACGAAGCAATGAAACTCTGTCTCCTCTGTCTTCCCCTTAACTTCTCATTCAGATTCTCTCACTCACGCAATCAGTCAGATCAGCTTCTCTTACGAAAAGTGCTATACCAAAAAAAAAAAAAGAAAAAAAAAATCTCGAATTATCGAGCTCGATCCTAGATCAGGCACTATCTCATCCTGTCTATCTGATGATGGGTGGTTCAACGTTCGGGTCTGTGGAAATCCAGGGCGCGTGCGGCTTTTAATAATACCAGGCGATCGAGAAACGATCTCGGAGCAGCTCCGACAGTGGAGGGGAAGAAAAAACTCGGTGGAAATTTAGGTTCCTCTTAGGCAGATAGCCGCCACCAGCCACGTAGTGTTGTCCGTTACGTTCGGGATTGGTTCTCATCTTTTTACGAAGGATAAGCGGCCCGGGAGAGACGGAAGAGAGCCCGACGATTTCCTTTTAAACCCCGGCCGATGTAATATAGGGCAACGGAATCCCTGGGCGGGAAACATTTTTCCACGGGACTCGGCAGTCGTGCTTGATCCATACTTCATCGATGGAATCGGTCTCTCCCTCCTTCTTACATAGTGCCTTTCCTTTCTTGCGAAGAGAAGAAACGACGATTGAAATTGATCTTATCGTCGCGGGAAACGAGCGTAACATCGGACGGGTGCAAGTCGAATGTTACACACTCGATTTTTTGAAAATCTTCCTTCCGTTCGCGGATCAATGCTCGTATTTCGTACGAGTACGCGTTTATTTCAAGTCCCCGTTCAACAGGGGAATCATCTACTTTTGATACTTGATATTTCATATTTATGATTTCCAGAATTTGTAATTTGTGATTTCACATCTTTCGCGTCTGTAATTTCAAATTCAACGTGTCGTGCGGCAATTTTCGCTTTGTCCACTTGTGCTTCGCTGTTGGATATTTAATCGATAAATATCGAATGAATTATTCATATAACAACTATCAAGCTATTAAACTATTCATATTATTCATAACAACTATCGCTAGTATTAAAGCAGTTATTGCGTTCCTTTACTACACCGCGATAAATGAATTTATTAATACAAAATTCTATTTACCAACTTCTAAATATGCATTGAAAAAGAAAGAGGGACAAGGCGTTTTTGGTAATGATTTGAACGAGGATCGTCGAGTATCTTTATTTGAATTAAATATCAAGTATTTCATACTTTGTCAGACGTTTATTACATCATTATAGATGACGAAATTCATTGTGTACCGAATGAAAAGTATTTTATCCAGACAAAATGAACCAACTAACACATGATACCAAGTATCAACTTAAGTATTTTATACATTTCAAGTGCTTCATATTCGAATCTCTCTTTCGAAAAACAGAAAAATTCAAGGCGGAATACGTTTTAACGTGATCGATTGTCGACCACATCACGGATGTTTTCTTCTTTCGTTGAAAAAAGAAAAAAAAAAAAAAAAGAAGAGAACTGTACTTTATACCGTTAACCAGAAGAGATATCGTAGTATAATAAACGTCTGGCAACAAAGGAAGCATTTTACTGCGGAGGTATCTCACTGTCGAAGCGTCGATCACGGATCTTTTTAATCCCGCGGTTTACTCGTCAGTTTAAATAGCAGGATCGACACGCAGGGACGACACAATATCCGCTGGAGGAAATATTAAAAGAGTCATTTTCATGTCCCCTCAATTCCAGCTGTACCAGAGGTCGATTAATAACTCGGGATGATATTCGACGTTCAGTTCGATAAAAATAGGAAGAAATCACGTGATAACCTGAGAATAGATTATATACAGGGTGGACCAGCTGAATGGGATCATCTAAATATATCTGCTAATTTTTGAAGGAAAGAATGTAGTGCTGAAAACATTTGTTTTTTAATGATTTTTCTTGCGATCAACCTACGATCATTTATTTATTGAGAAATTTGCGTCTGAATGTACGAGA